GGGGGGGTGTCTGGCATGGGCCCCGTGGATGGGGCGGGGGACAGGGGCACCGTGGCCGTTGCAGCAGTGTCAGCGGCCGGTGGGGTGGTGGGGTCGCTGCCGGGAGTGGGCGGCCATCCCACCGGGGAGGGCTTCCTCACGCCCTCACCCGCCCGGCTGCTGGGCCTCAAGAGCTGGTCCTCGATCAGCAGGTCCACCGTGTTGTCCCCGCTGAACAGCTCATCCGCTGCCAAACACAGGCACGGGTGTCAGCCCCACAGCGAGTGGGAGCAGGTCACCTATACGGCCCCTCTCCACCTGCCCCACCGCTCTGGCTCCTCCATCCACTTCTCCAGGCTTTCTTGGACTAAATCCATGCAATTTTCCTCTTAATTTCCAGCCGGAGAAGGGCTGAACGATCAGCAGGGGCTGACGGTGCCCATGTTAGGAGGTCAGTGGGACCCCATCACATCCATGTCCACCACCTCAGGCCAAGCAGAGCAGGAGGTGATGGACCGCGATTCAATCCTGCCAGCTCTCAGAGATGGGGCAGGATGGAGACAGCTGCAGCGCCCAGCCAGATGCCACCCACCTAACCCAGGCTGCCAAAGCAGGTACCTCACCCAGGGCACAGGACCACCGGTGCCCTTTGCTCCTCCTCGTCTCAGGGATCTCACAAATCCACACATGGCTGTGCTGACTGACCTTGCTGCTGAGCCAGCTTTGCACAGAAAAGGCACTTGCCTTGTTTGCCCATGCTGCCAGGCACTGCCGGCCCCTGGGGACTCGGACCCCTGCTCCATGAGCAGCGCCTTGCTGAGCTGCAGGGCAGCCAGCCACAGCTCTGAGCCGCCTCCTGCCACCCTGACCGCTGCACAAACCTCCCGGGATGTCATCGGGCTGGTGGATCTGCAGGACTAACGCATGTAATAAACTTGCGTTTACTTTCTGGAAAGGTGTTGATGCTGGGTGTTTTAAACCAAAGCAGGGACCTATTTCCTTAGCTACCAAAGATTTTCCATGGAATAACAACACTGTACTGCTCCCCATGCAGAGCTCAAAGGCTGCACAGCAGTGAGGTACCAGTTGTCCCACCTCTTCCTGCCTCCAAGCCCTCCTCTCTGCGGTGGCCCCACGCGCTTTGCCCATGCATTCCCAAGGGACAGGGCAGGACTCAGGGACGGATGCTGGCTTTGCTACAGGACACAGCCAGCCATCCCACTGGACGCGGCTGCAAACCCAACTCACGTTGCTCCTCAATGTCATTCTCCGACTCGGTGGACTGGGCTTTGTAGTAGGTGACCCCTCGGACAATGGTGGGCTTAGAAGGAGGCCGGCTCCTTACACGCAGCTTCCTCTGCAAGAGCTGCTTGGGCTTCTCATCCTCTGGAGTGAGGTGCAGCTCCGGGAGGGACTCAACGGAGTTGATCTGCTGGGAGATGGTTTCATCTTTCAGGAATCTTTCTTCATATTTGCCCTGGAAGAGACACAGGAGGTTGTTATGGGATGGGTCAGAATGGCCGCGTTTTGGGGGATGGGGCAGGTCAGGCTGGCCAGCCGAGCACTGGGTAGGACGCTCTGTCCTCCCTCCTTTCTCAGGGTCAACCTCAGTCCGTTCTGCTGTGGGAAACCCCCCAGGAGACAGCGGGGGCGGCAGACCAGCGTTGCCTCTGCCTAACCTTGGTGCCACCCTGCAAATCTGGGACTCGGTGCTCAATAAGGCATGGGTTATGGGATGCAGGATGTGCAGGCAGAGCAGGGGAACCCCAGGGTGGCGTTAGCAGGGTACAGCCTTCACTGCAACCGCTCACATGTCCACCCGCTGGACATCTCCTTGCCTGCCAGGGACCGGTGCCAGTGGCTGATCCCTAGTGAGTGCACGGCGTGCACCAAGCTTTGGTAGAGCAGAGAGGCTGAGGGCACCTTCCCAGCAGGACTGGGAACCCCCCAGGCAGGGACCAGGAGTTCTCCCCGGGGCAGGGACTGGGAACCCGGCGCTGAGGCAGCCACCAGCTGCCACAGCTCATGCCTGAAAGATTTAATCTCATTAAAAGAAATTGGAAAGACAGCCCAAAGGTTGAAGCGGTGCCCATTTGGCTGAGAAGACGAGACCAGGGTTCCTTCGCAGCCCTGCTGCAATTAACAGCGAGAAAAGGGGAACACTGGGAAATGAGGTCACTTGGGGTAATAAAAGCCCCACGCTTCGCTCTCCTGCCTGGCTGGGGCTGGCTTCTCTCCAGCAGGCAGCGGAGCCCCTGCTCAGGTTACAGCCTGGGGAGCAGGGGGGAGAGCACTGCTGGACACCCTCTGCTGCGGGGCACAGCCCCCCACCCGAGCAGAGTGCGCTGGCACATCATACTCAGTGCCATTTTCCCACCCACCAACCCCCAGCACATGCATGGGAGCCCACCCTTCTTCCCGCTGGGGCTCAGGGAGCCCACTCCTACGTAGGACCCGCAACACCTGCTCCACCCCCAGGAGCTGAGCACCCCTGTTTTGAGCTGGAAATGACGCGGCGACCACTCCCCCCTTCCCCAGACACCTCCTTTGCCCCTGCAGAGGGGACCCTGGGGTGAAGGCAGGATGCTCCAGGAGCCACCCAGTACAGACCAGAGCAGCGTGAGGCCACCCTAGATTGCACCACCAAAGCAGCAAGGGGGTCAGGACACCCTGGGCTGGCCTTTTCCCAAAACACCCCTCTCACCCCTCTCTGGGGCTGCACAGAAACTGCTGCCCTGGGCACAGGATGTCCCCACGCTGGGCAGACCCCACAGGGACCCCTGGCGCAGGGGCTGGCTGGGGAGAAGTAATTCCCCGGGAGGGAGAGCGACAGGCTGTCCCTCCACCGAGCCCCCAAGACCTCCTAATCAAAGGCTCCGAGTTTCCCAGCGCTTCCCAGCCGGCCCCACAATGACATCACTCTTTCTGAGCAGCACGGCTGCCACTGACCTCGAAAACCAACAACCAACCTCCCCCCCGCAAAGGGGGGAGGCCATGGGAGCAGCCTGCTCCTGTTCCCTCCTATGTCCCAGCGGCAGCTGGGCTGTGCCGAGAGAAGCAGGCTGGAGCTGGAGGCTCCAGAAACAGGTTCGGCTGAGCCAAGAAGAAAATAACCCCAGGCCGGTGGCCACATCCAGGAGACAACCTCTGGACTGGCTTGTGTCGGATGTCAA